TTTTTAGATTGGTTGACTGATGAAATGGATCGGAACAAAAAGTGCAATGAGATTTGCGTGGGTATAAAATCTGCAAATGAAACCTATGACGGAGAAGAGAGAAATATACCATCTGTTGTACCATTCTCATGAATCCGTATACAAGGCGGAGTGGTGATCTAAGAGCCTGTCCTATCGTCTGCTTTCCCCTAACGTAAACAAACATAAAACGCCAGTCTAAACCCAGATCGCAAAAAGTGAGGAAAATAAACATCCGTCGCCCAAGGTCAAACTGACCGTACAGGCGTCTACCGCATGTATAGCGAGTCGCTGGACTCGGTTCTTGGGAATATCCGAGTGTACAACGAATCGGTCGACTCTGTGCGTGGGAATGCTCGCTGGTGAACCTTCGAAACCATACGGTCGGTGTATACACCTTTCGCTGTGCCCCGAACGACGGTCTCCAGATAGTCCCTGAAGTCGACTGGCCTGAAGTCTGGATAGAGGTCCTTGGCAATCAGATATCCGAGATATTTTGCGTTTTCCGGGGTATTGTCTCCCCGAATACCCCAAGACAACTGATACTCAGCCAAATAGCGGGGGATGAACTTGACGGGATCGAAGGGATAGGTCTCGCTAGACTGCCGGGCGGCGAGGACCCGAGTGTAGACGCTTTCCTCCGGAATCTATAGTCATAGATCAGCAAATGTCGCGATGCGCAACAACGTCCAAGCTACTTACGTAATTCCTTTGGATTTTCTCTTCGCTGATCTCTTCCAGTAGGTCGTAGATCTCATTCTGTGTCTTAACCGTGTTGTACGCATAGACCATCTTGTTCAACGTCCGCTCGTCGTCAATGATTCTAGCAACATAGCGTCCAATGTCTCTCAAATCAGTCAAACCCATAGGGGTGTTGCCATCGCCGACGATTTCATTGTTTGCGGAAGTCATAGCATAGTCGGCTCGTCCGGACTCCAGGCGGGGATACGAAAGTTGGTACCACCAGCCGACATCGATGATGGTGTAGGGGAGGCGCAGTTGTTTAACATGGTTGTAAACTGTTTCTTTCTAAAGGAGGGGACTGATGTCAGTGCCTGAGGGCAAACTCTTCCTTCGCTTTCATGGGAACTTACTTCGTCCCTCAGCCACATGATACCACCGGGGGGTGCCACTGTGATGAAGCCACATGGAACAAAGCGCTTAACTCCAGCCCTCTTCGCAGCTTTGGCGAGAGGAATTTGATCCTGCTGCTCGGCAGGACCAACACAGCTAATGACGACATCGATTCCCTCGAGCGCCTCGGTAAGAGATTCTTCAGGGCCTTTTAGATCGCATCTGCGGATTTGCATACCGCGGTCTTGGAGGGAAACGATGGCGGGCTTCTGTACCGACCGGGGGCGGACGAGAGCGTAGAGTTCCTGCAGTCACGTGAAAGTGAGGTTAGACCAAAAGGTCGAAATTGGACAAACCGGGGGACGGGATTCTTACAAAAATGGGATTTTCCAATAGTCCATTTGCAATCGAACCACCAGTTTCACCGGCTGCTCCGACGAGCAAAACCTTTGTTTTCGACATGGTGTTTCCAACGGGAGGCGAGATCAGTTACAAGAGAAAGTGTGTTGGTTGTGCGATGATAAGATTAGGGTGAATCGAATGATGTGGGAAGAGAGAGAAATCAAACGGGGGTGTGAGAATAAGCAAGGATTTTTCCGTCCGCCTGCTCTCTTTTATTTCTGTTTCAAGATTGCCTTCTCTTCCAACGCAGGATTGAAGGGTCAGTCGACGTTATAAGGGCCAGTGTTCCACACGCTACCCACACTGCCTTATCCAGATTGGCCGCGGGTGGGTCGACAGTGGATGTTAAGCTCCCCAAAATGAGAGGCACTTTTGGTGCGTGAGTTGTCTGGGAAAGGAGGGGGTGGATATTCTGCGTGATTTGACGTTCTCGTCGTACCGTACTGAGGGTTGCTACCGTGAGATAAATATGGCGAGATCTCCGTGTGAGAATCTGGTGACTTTCTCCTTATATATGCCAAGTACCTTTTTTTAATCTTTTTCCCTCTAACCTTCGTCAGGAGCATCGGAAGGTCGGATCGCTGAAGTTTTGGGTTTTCCCTCACTACGGGCCGGTGGCTCGGGAGTCCCAACCCCAATACGGTTACGTCATTTTTGCCCACGGCTTCCCGGCCTAAAGACTGGACAAGTGACGAGATCTGTTCCAACATTCTATGATGGTTTCAGTTCCACCATCATTATGATACCTACCTCTCGTTCATGGCCGGTAGTCGTGACCTATCCTCAAGACGACGGATCGCGAGCTGACCTCCTTAATTCAACCTGACCATCAAGTCCCTCCTTAACTAAAATCCACGCATTCCGTCTCCTGTTTCCACATCGCTAGATGCTCTCCAATGCGGGGAGAGAGGCCCCAATTCCCCCGGTATTTCCAGAATAGGGCCTTTTCTGCACCTCACAATTCATATTATCAGGTCTTCTTTGTCCAATGATCACACCCCCACGTCAGAGATCTTCGGATCTGCGTGGCGGCCTTGTGAGCAGAAGGTGTTTGTAACCCTGGCTGTATGACGACATGGGTCATTGCTGGGTTGGGGCCCGGCTGTCATTGGTCGGTCCCTCGTTGCAGATGGAGTAGCTGTCCCACGGTTGCATATATTTGTCCCCTTGGAGCCTGTGACTTTAACCAAAATTATCATGGTCGGCGGCTACTGGAAATTGATCCAGTACACTACCAATGCAACGCGAAGAGGCCCGTTACCCACTTAGCAACGGAGCCCCGAGCGTACTTCTGATTGACGCATGACAATGCAGTTCTTGTTCAATCCGATTGCTTTTTCCTTTGATCGGCTGGCCACCCTACTGCCATCTATGGGTTTCCTCCCCGCAATCGTTGAGCTCTAACTCATATTCTGGAGCTTTGAGTTTCACCTGAGAGATCTCATGCGTGTGCGACAGCATCCAGCGGTGCATAAGCGGCTCATGAACCATTTGTAGAAACATGAAAAAAGCAAACAGATGTTGAACTGCAGGGGTGAACGTTACCGGTTAGGCTTCAATGCCAACGGAGAACATGATAATAACTCATTAGGGCAAATAACAGAGTATGCACCGTTAGTAAAACTAAGTCTGCGGCTCTCTGTACGAATCCGAGGGTTCGGGACATGGATAAGCGTTCCTGACGGTGGGTTCCAGCCACTCAGACGTTGTTGTTTTCCAAGGCGGATCTAAAACTACTCCCTACTACGTACTAACAGTAGTAGTCTGTTGTAAACCTGGCTTTAACCTCACTTTCTTTTACTGCGTTGATTTGGTCCTCGTGACCACAATTGGCAGCCCAGCCTCAAGGCCCCTGGTAAAAATTCTGAAACTACTCATCTTTTGTGTTGGATCAAATTTCCCCCGGAATCGAGGCACCGGACGAGATTCCTCCGGGAGAGGGCAGGTGCACCGAACAGAAGATGGAAGAATCGTGGCAATGAACAAGCTGGCCAATGGCCCCGACCGAGAGACGACCGGGTGGATTAACCGCTAGAAAACAAACCGCGTTCGGCTAGCCGCGATTAAGCATGGCTCAGGATGAATAGTGAGGCATGTGAGAAATAGAAATTGATTTGGTCTTTTCCCCTTCGGATTCTAGTCCCCGATCTGCAGGCTCTAGTTTCCTCTTTCTTCCGCCAATGATACGCCTGGCTATACACACACTCCTACTAATGTCATGTAATAAATTTGATGATGCTATGACAGGTTTTGAAGTATGGTGGGAATGTCGGTGTGATCCGAAAGGCATAATTTATCACAGCCGCGGGTAATTCTTTTCTGGTCGCCGAGGAGAGAGATTCCTTTTTGATATTCCTACATACCTACCAACGATCTCCGAGCTCCTACGTACCAAGTTACTACTGTGTAGTGAACAATACTTACCTGGTAGTTGTCTCTAGCACCCTAATAGCTAACAATCTTCAATACAGGGGAAATGACTGAGACCAAACAGGACTGATGCTGGATCTGTGGTGCGGCGTACCATGAAAAACAACATGGTGTTATCTCAAAACGTGTCTCTCTTCCTTGTAAGGAGGATTGAACCTTAACCCAAATTTTACTTTCAATAAGCCAGAACCAAGATCCGAGGAAAGAGTCTTAATTTTCAGAAGCATCCATTCGCCACGACCTCACTCGAAGGGCAAGCAGGATGATGTCGACACACAGAGATTTTCCCCGCTCTCCGCAATACCCCATGAAAAGATTTTCTCTCCCCGCAGCCGACGCCTGACATCGTAAACAAAACATCGTCATCGACTCAATCTACCATTCCTGATACTTCTCCATAGGTGAGATTTATTCTACTGTGTAGCGATCTCCTGATGATCTGCATTGATCACTATTCACTTAACAACATCACCTACTGAGTACAATATGCTGTGGGGCAATCTTCAAGTCCAGGTACATTTATCGCATACCACCACCCCCAGCTGAAACACCTACTACATAGAGGTCATTTTATACCCCTCAAACAAGTGGGGTTTAGCTTCGGGACGATCCAAGCTTCATTTGTCAATATAATGGTTGCAGTTTACTTAGCCCCTTTTGTGGTAACTAGTTATTATTAAAGAATGTATTACTTCAGCCAGGTGGTGCAGATTGACGCTAATACAGAAGCTTCTCATTCCGATGAGCGCGATACGCGCATGAGAAAACCCCTTGGTGTTTACCCCGTTTTAATGGCTACTGCGTGTGATTCCTTTTTGTCTGTTATAGATATTTTCAAGTTGAGATCGTAGAATGGAAGTTGCTATCATGAGCTCTCAGTTTACTACATTGGGAAGGCACTTGGTTGATTGCTTTCAGCCTTCCACGTACGAATACCATAGTCCTTGAACGTCTTCATTAAATAACCGCCGTGTAGATGTTCAATCTGAGGTTATTCTTACATCGAACACTCATTGATATCTTGATAATCCGAGTTCTTCCGTTCCCTGTCAACACGACTCATTACTAAATGAGAAATGTCATCAGAGCGGCACACTACTGCATCCTTCAGCTTATTATCAACTCCCAACAATGACAGCGAAGTTCAGAGCTGCTCGCCTAGTCGCAGCGAGAGTCAAAGCCTCTTCAATTCCTATGGAGCCGTAAAGCCAAACCAGGTTACTTTGATAGGTTCGTCTACAGATTGCAGTAACCAATGATTCGATAAGAATTGACGTATTGCCGAAGCAATCGGAGGCGCAATCAATACTGGTTTGATGATAGCATCCGGGAATGCGCTTGCAAGGTACAGTATTGTTGACATAGCGTGATAGGTTGTGTTGACAGCTCCTTAGGGCAGGAGTGAGTACCCCAACGTGCTGTTTCCTCTGCGGATAAATCATTATGTTAATCCATAAGCCTGATAGCCTGCATCAGTTCTCATCTCATACACGACTGTGGGTATCTTGGTTTATCACGTCTTATGCGCTCTGGCAGAGGTGGCTTCTCCAGAGCCGTCGACGGTTGCCGATCATGCTGCGAGGTTATGTGACCCATCTCTTGGTTTCACAATAGAGTGGATGTGAGCGAATCGATTTCTCTCCTATAGCTCCGCTAAACCCGGAACACAGATACTGGCTGAAGTTTGTGGTGGTCGCACCTAACCAATTAACCGCGGCAGCACTGGTAGTGTCATATTGGTTGGATGTCGATATCGTCAATCCAGGCATATGGATAAGCGTGTTCATGGTGGTCATACTTGGTGTGAACTACTGGGGTAGTCGGTTTATGGGTCAATATGAGTTCATTCTGTCTTCTTTTAAAATCACGGTGGTGGTCGGACTTATGGTCTTTTCCCTGATTTTAGCGCTAGGCGGTGGCCCTGATCACGATAGGAGAGGATTTCGATATTGGAAAAGTCCGGGTGCCTTTGCTGGGGATCATACGGCTATTGGGAGACTTCGCGCCATATGCTGGACGATGCCTTCGGCTACCTTTGCATATCTTGGAAGTGAATTGATCGGGATCAGTATTCTACGTACGAAAAATACGCGCAAGGCTGCGCTGCATGCAACCAAGCTAACGTTCTACCGGATACTGGTTATCAACATCGTTATCGTGACCTTCATCGGTATGTTGGTTCCGTTCGACGCCAAGGAGTTGGAATTCGCTAGGGTAAAATCAAGCTCGAGACTGTATACGAGAGCTGCTTTAATAGGAGACAAGCAGCCTGCCGCCTCATCAGCAGCCGCTTTCGTAGTGGCGGTTCAGATAGCCCACATAGCTGTGGTACCGCATATTCTCAATGCGTGTTTCCTTTTATTCATATTATCCGCAGCAAACCATTCCCTCTTTATGGCAACACGGACTCTTTACGGTTTATCCCTCTCACGAAACGCTTTTGCTTTCCTGTCTCGCCTTGACCGTAGGGGGACTCCGGTCTATACTCTCTTCGTATGCTCGGCGATCGCCTCGCTGGCATACCTGAATAATCAGGAAGATTCAAAGTGTCTCTTTAACCACTTTGTGAACTTAGTCACCATGTTCAGCATTCTCACCTGGATCTCGATTCTTGTGGTACACGTTAAGTTCGCAAGGTCTCAAAATACAAATGCTGAGACGAGCCCGCTCGTGTTCAAGGCTCCTTTTGGGGTTGTTGGATCATGGGCTGCCCTGGCCTTCTGTGCATTTTTGACGATAATGAGGGTGTTTGACACGGTGGACTCTGATGGTGATCCTAACAAATTTGATTACAAGGCAACCATCACATCATACATGGGAATACCATTGTACTTAATGCTGTTCTTTGGTCATAAGATTTTTAACAGAAACCGAAAGGCTCGGCGGGATGCAGGGCCAATTGAAATGGCGTCATAGTCGAGCTGAGAGATGAAAGTTAGAGCAAATGTAGGTTTGCGGCAACCGATATAACAGGTATCCCAATAGTTTCACTGAAATTTCAGTCCCATGAAGCCGTAGTTACTTCTGGAATAAAACGACCAATTTCCAGGGCTACACAAGTCCTTCCACCTTTCCCTGCAAATACAATTTCCTCTCTTTATACCCACTATCTTTCCCATCTATGATATCTTCTTCCTCCAGCGTATCCAGAAAATCCAACACCCAATCCTGACAATTCCACCCATGAATATCACTGCGGACCGGAAGCCCACCAGCGATAGCCTTTAGCCTGCCAGTCTCGATGTCTTTCACATCAAAGAGGAAGACAAGTTCGTGTAACCCACTCAGACACCGAGCATCTCCGTATTCAGGTTCATAGCGGAATCGACCATCGGAGCCTCGAGCCTGAAGCATGATTTTTTCAGATGCATGAGGTTCGTCGATAAAGATAGCCCAGTGTTTGAAGACGCCTTCGTCGGTGATTATGGCGACGTGGACTCCGACCATTGTGGTTTGATTCGGATCGGTCTTTGGGATAAGGTGGTGCTCGCTGAGGGGGTTTTCTGGAGTAATAATTTGTAATGGACTAACCCTAGCATGGGTCGTATTTGAGGAGTCAAGGTATGTATTAGAGGGAACTTGAACAGACGAGTGTGTCTGTTTGGAGATGATATGAGGAGTTGATATGGGACAACTCGGGCGCCTGATTCATTGTACTACGACTAGAGCTTGGCCAATAAATTAGTTAATGTATTGAGAATGTTAATTCACATGATACAGTGAAGGGTTTCCTGACTGGACGAGTTAGCGTGAGGCACTCAGGCTCCAGAGACGGTCACCAGAGTATAAACCTCCCCCCTCTTTTCCCCCTCTTTTCACTCCCCATCCCCAGTGACAAGCTGGGCTTTGAGTGCATCTTATGCTCCTGCTTCCCTTCAGGCTGAAAAGACACGAAAGCTGCTGAAGTGGACAGATTAAATTCAAAATAACATTTTGATATACTAGTACTATTCCGTCGTATCGTGCCAGTTCGGGATTTGTGGGGATAAGGAAAGGCAAGGGAGACTCTAGTCTTGTAGACATAGTACTAGCACCTGACACGTACCTAATAATAGTTCGAGGTGGGAAATAGAATCGCTGCATCAGAAGCTAGAAAGTATACACTCACACTAACAAGGAACCTCGAGGACAAGATATATTAAATTAAGGATATGGTCGATCTTGTTCGACACTTCGATTGTTCTCCCCCTCCAAATCCACGTGCATATTCACTCGACACCATCCGTTCTGGAAATATACGGACAGGCCGCCTTTTTGCTCTCATCATCACTGGCAGTGCGAGATTCCTCCGTGACGGAGATATGTGTTGTCCGAATGATCCCCCCTGCCTCGAGAATACCCTCGTGTAGGTATTCCATTGATTCGGTCCCTTTCTGCTTGTCCCTTCTGATGTTGTTACTCATCATGTAGGAGGCGCTGCCATAAGCTGACACCCTAGTTCCATAGTTCTCCGAGTACCCACTAGGCTTGGTGGGCGTGGTCTTCACACCCAAGACACTTTTGATTCTGCGGATGACGCCGGTCTCCTTGATAATCTTGGGAATGCAGGGCAAACAGAAAATGAAAAACCCGCACGTCATCTCAGCCATGGAACAGAGAACCAGGGGAGCCAAACTGTACAGCGGATCGTCTGCATTAGCGTGGATCACCGTCGTGTCCAATCTAAGTGCTGCGGAAGCACACGCCCTGCAGAGTCCTTGATGTTTAGTTTGAGGAGGCAAATGCAGGGTTATAGTGAGGGCCGGGAAACGTACAGCACACCGAGACTAAAGACGAACGAAACGCCCAGCCTCTTCCTCCACGTCATTTTCAACGTCCAAATAACAGGCTGTGGCAGCAGCAGCATGATCGCGTCGCATGTCAGATGGACGCTGGCTGATGCGAGTTGGATTTTGTACAGGTCGACGCATTTCCCCGGAACGGTGAGGTCATAGATGGCTCTGTGAGGGATGCACTGGAGATTCAAGGCTAGTATTATGCCGATGCCCGCGATGACCTGGATACAGATTGTGACCATGCATCCCCACCAGAAGGCGGTGCGAGATCTCAAGCCCTGAGGGGCTAGCAGTCGACACCACTCCACAAGAATGGCTATCTTGAGGAGCGGAAGGACAAATGAGTAACAGACGCCAAAGACAAAGACATACTATGTATGAGTCAGATGCTGAACTCTGGGGAACCCAGGGCTGAAGCCACCTACATAATTGGTAAGTATGAAATCGCGACAGCGGACATCCCATTGGTGAACGAAATAGCCAGGCTTCCTGACCATGGCAAACGCTGTATAGCCAGGTCCCCAGTAGCACCCCTAGAGATTGCGTTATCAGACTCTCGCTTTATTACTTTTGGTCATAGGGGGGACGAACATATGCAAGCACGGCCAGTACTGTGGTGAAAGTAACGTCAGCATCTAGGTACGGAGGGCATCAGGGTACGCAAGGGCTCACTTTCTTCAATTCGTATCTTTTTCAACAGATAAACCCGGGCATAAACACGCATCAAAAAGCAAATCGTGGTGACTGTGACGCATGCAACGAGGATGCCCAAGGCAAATGCATTTCGATTCGTTGGATTGTCAAAGTTTGGCGTAATTCCATCTGGCGGCGGATAAGCAGGCTCGTCCAGGTCCATAGCGATTTAAGCAGGCACCTTATGAAGATGTCAAAAAGGTTCCAAGTAGAATTACAACAGCTGCCCCATATAATGCTCCTCCAAACTACAGTTGTCTTCCGTAGTCTTGATTCTATGTCAAGCTCCGCTCTGTTTACAAAGGGGTAGCCTTTTATCTACAGCTTTCAAGGAGCACCGTGCTGCCTTTGTCTTCTACATCTGGGGTGAGCATTTGGAGATTGTTCGAATATGCCCTAGGTTTGATTTGTGGCAGATGATAGTAGAGTAAACTGCATTATTTGGGCGCCACCAGCGTGAAGCTGCCGCACCTGCAGTTCCCCCTAATAGCATATCCTACAAAGAAGAGCCATCTTGATGGGACAGTCCCCTTTTAGACTGCAAAAGGTAGCCCCCTAATGATTCCTATTGAAGTATAGAGTTATTCAACAGACAATGCGCAGAGGATATTATGTGTCATTAACTTTCCCCTGGAACCTCACATGCCGAGTAAAGTTTCGGCACTCGCTATGCAACAAAGCCCTGCGGAGAGTTTTATATGCTAAAGAGATACGCTAGTCAGCCGTGTCGGCTTGGCTGTGAAGTGTCCCGTTCGGATCGTAAGAGTATCCTCCCAATTTCTTTGACAGGTCAAAAGTTTTATCAAAGAGAATGAGCCTTGCCGCAATTAGAGGTAGCCTTCGAGGCTCCTGCCCCTTTCTACGGAGAAAGCACATATACCTAGATAGGTATCCTTCACAGTGCCCGCTTGCAGTTGAAGAAAAGGATCGCCATCCCTGTGATGACTTGTTACCTCGCCTATCTAGAGAGTAATAATCGTCGTCGATGCTGCGGGCCCTGGAGAGCCGACTACCAATGCTTCAGGCACCCCACCAAGACTACTCGTGGCAGTGCTGGTTGACAGTGCGTATATGCCGTGTCTGTCTTGATATGTAGGATGGACCGGCTATTGATCTTATACTGTACCACGATGTCAGACCTTACGTTAACTTGCTCTCAGGTCTCGGTGCCAGCAGGATGCTTGCTAACCCATATCATATGACGGTGGCGGCCTTGTACCTTTACTTATACTCCCTGCTTACACCTTTTAATTCCGACCCCCGGTCTTCAAGCCCGACATGTCATCCAACATATTCTGGGCCGAGAAGGTTAGTGGGTTATAATGAGGTCTGAGTAGCTCAGGTATATGCAAGTGATGCCTCCTTGGGTAATAGGCTTTATGAATTATCTGAACAATAGTCTGAGCAATGATATACTATCCTTAATTAGCTGGCAGTTCAAGCAATCTAATGTATGCGAACAGTCCGATATACACGACTAGGCAGGCAAGTAGTATAACCATGAAAGGCCGTTCGCTAGCCCCAGTCTTCGAGGGCGCCACTTACTAGTATGTACTATTGCTTCTAAGAGATATTTCTCAAATAGAACAGTATGCACGAGTCATTGCATAGTTAGTACCAGCTTCTGGAATCTGTCTTGACATTGACGCTAGTACTTTCTTTACAAATATAAGATCAATTTGGTATTTTAGCAGTTAGATGCTAGTTGAAGTGAATAGGGGCTGCAGCTTCAGTTGTGGCCCGCAGGCTTAAAAGATCAGGACGAGAGTAATGTCCAAGGATGTCGAGGTTCTGCTTCGCCTTGATCCGATCTTTCAGATCGATATCAGCATACACGATCGCCTCCACTCCCGGATCCAATGGCTCCGTTAACGGAGCTCCATCAGGGCCAAATATCACCGTAAGACCTCCTCCGGGAAGCTTCATCCAGTCCAAGTCCGGCAACTTGGACTTGATCTTCCCTTCCGGCGTCTGTATTTGAGTGCAAACAAGAACAAAGCAAGCACCCTCCATGGCCAGAACCTGACTGAATCGGCTACTTGCTTCGTCAGAAGTATGGTATGTCCAAGATGGAACGCTCCACATGCAAGGCCAGCTTGCGACATGGATGTCAACGTTTTGAGAATACTCGTAATACCGCAGAAGCGGTTGGGTATGCTCCCAACAATTGAGCCCCCCAATATTTCCAAAAGCACTGGGTGCCACCGTTTTGAGGGAGTCTGCTTGCCCTTCTCCCCAGTAACTTCTCTCGACATGAGTCGGCTTGATTTTACGTCGGTGGTGGACAATAGTACCGGTAGGGTCAATAAATGACTAGAGGGTCTATTGTTAGAAAGCACGAGCATGGGGAGCGATCTGTGGTAAGAATACCTGGGCAATGTACAACGACCCTCGATATCGTTCACTGTATCCCAGAACTATAAACACACCCGCTTCACGGACAGCAACCTTGATGCGCTCCATCTCCTCCGATTCCCTCTCCAGGGAGTTTTCGAAGTATTCATTCATGAAGGACACATTCTCAATGGCCGAGTTGGCCCAAATGCTCCTTGTCCGTAGCTGATTAATAGAGAGTTCTATGGAAGCTTGTTCTGTTGCTCACCATGGATACCCTGGGATGAATACCTCAGGAAAACCGACCACGTTTGCGCCATTGTTGGCGGCGTCCTTGATCAGGGAGATGACCTTGGAAACCCCGCCCTGTAGGTCATTCCACACCGGTTCGGCTTGAACCGCAGCAACCTTGACCTTAGAAGACATTTTGTGGTGGTGAAGGTAGTATTCTCAGTGTTGAAGACAAGCCTTGAAGTGAAGATGACAGAAGTGAAAACAAGCTCAAAGCCGGGCGATATAATCTGTTATTAATTCTAAAGACGCAAGCTCGTATCCCGCTTCGAGGTTACATCTAGGTGGGATACCGTGTCAATCAATAGTCAGCATCCTTGCATATAGTATGCATGTCGGAGCCACAAATCTCACCAGAAAGAGACTCGTCATCGTTCCAGTATCAGGAAACAATGGTTTACCAATCACATAAAAAGTTGAAATCTACTTAACACCACCATCTATCCATCTAGTAACTACTAATTGATCACCCTCCTGTCATGTCTGAAGAAGTTTAACCTTAAAGGTAGCTAAGGCAATACATAAGTTGACTGCATTTGGGCAATCGTATGAGAGGTATACTGCAGGGTCAATGTTGGTATGTCGACTGATTTTGACCCATGGCCTATCTTGAGTAGTACCTCTATCATGATTATCATGATTTGATATTTACAGTTCATAACACATAAATAAATATACTATATGCTTCTGTTTCGTATCAATCAACAGTCAACCAGCTTCAATGGCTTGTAGAAGTCATGCGAGCAAGAACTGATAATTTATCCACCTTTTTTTTTTAAAAAAAAAAAAAAGAAATTCCATACAGCCCACATCACATCAAACAGACCGTGCATTTTAACCATAGGCGCAAATGACATAGCATCGAAATCTCCTCATGCGATGCGCCAATCAATACTGATTCGGCCACAGCCCCGAAGGAAGCGGGGCGTTTGAGCGATGGTCTCTGGGCGCCAACCCCAGTCGGGAATTATCGTCTTGGTTGCACTTAGCGAGTCAAGAGAAGTGATGGGGATATGGGATATCACCCGGCTTGGCGCCTCGTTTAACAGAAAGGATATGTTGCCAATGCTTGGGTGGATAAGCGCGATCGGAATGATATCAAATATGTCGACCTAAAGCTGTGTCAAACTAGCCGTTGTTATATTACCCCTTGTTTCCCCCTCCCCCCTTAGGAGCCTCTCGAGCCTCGGGACGAACTGTCCAGTGTTCGGTTTTGTCTCCTCTCAGGCGACAATGGCGAACTTGAAGCTCTTCTTTAGGCAGATTTGGACGTTAACTCTGAAAAATCTCCTGCTCGTCCTCGTTCGCCCGGTTTTTACAACCGTTCTCAGGGCTCTCGTTTTGCCGGTAATTTTTACCGCGTTCATGTGAGTTATTCCACCTCCATGAAAAGGCAAAAGTAGTAGGTCTAATAGGGGTCTAGATCGTATGCGCGAAACCTGTTTATTGAGCCAGCTACTTATGGAATTGGTGACCCAAGCCCCTTACGGCCTTTGTCAGACAGTCTGCATGCTATAACTGGTGGACGAGATAAGCTGGTGTTCGTTCATAATGGCCTCCTTGGCGGCCCTATCGAGAAAGTGATAGACTCAGTCACAAATTCTATACAACCCAACCAAGATCAAGTATACCCGCACTTGTTGTCGTCTGAAAATGAGCTGCAGGAATTATGTCGAACGTCCCTCAGTGGAGTATCCACTTGTATAGCAGCTGCGGTGTTTTATTCTTCTCCAACGGAAGGCCCATATGGGATATGGAATTACTCCATCAGAACAGATGCGGCCCTAGGAGCCGGTATCCATGTTGATAATCATAAAAATGACCAGGAGATCTACCTTCTTCCCTTTCAACACTCTATTGACCGAGCCATAGCTCAGGCCAATACATCTACTGATCAAAATGCGTTACCTAACGAGGTGATTACATTCTATGAGTGGATCGCCCACACCCACTCACTACCTTAGGCTTGACTGACAGACCTATAGATCATGGAGTACCCTTTTACATCATTGACTCAGGAGGAACGTCGGGACGAAATCCGGGTCAATTATATGGGTGCCGTTATCAACATCATGGCCATCGCCATTTTCATCGGCATCGTGGGAGTGACCTACCAGCTAACTGGCTTGGTTGCGATGGAACGCGAACTGGGAATGAGTCAGCTGATAGACTGTATGATGCCAAATGAGTCCAGATGGCAATCACAAGCAGCCCGGTTTATCGCAGCACACCTGGCACTGGACATGGTATATGGCATAGGGTGGATTATCATGGGCGCCATCTTGAAATACGGAATCTACAGCAGAACATCCGCCGGGATTACTATAGTCTATAACATCCTGGAGGGGCTCGCTTTGTCGTCCTTTTCCATCTTTGGAGCATCTTTCTTCAAGAGAGCACAGCTCAGTGGCATTTCCGTCGTTATAGCTTGTTTACTCCTCGGTATCATAGCCCAGATGGTCCCTGCGAGGACCAATGGTGCTGTTGTCATACTTGGTCTTCTATTCCCGCCAATGAACTATGTCTACTTTCTCATTTTTATGGCTCGATGGGAAAGGCAAGGCCTAGCCACTGATCTTGTGCATGCAGCTCCTGAAAATCCTTGGTCGCTTCCCGGAATCGCCCTATGGATACTCCTTATTATCCAAATACTCGTGTATCCGTTGCTCGCGGCTATGGTGGAGCGCATACTGTATAGTACGGCATCCAAGGGCCGAAAGGCCACAAGCACTGCCACCTCGACGAACGCACTCAGATTACAAAGTTTCACAAAATCCTACAAACCAGGATGGTTTTACAGAAATATCGCTACACGATTTGGCAGTACCCGTCAGTCTGTTCTGGCAGTGAATGATTTGAGCATGGATGTCAAAAAGGGACAAATCATGGTCCTCCTCGGGGCTAACGGATCAGGAAAGTCTACTACCTTAGATGCTATCGCTGGTCTAACAAAAATCTCCGCTGGGGAGATCAACATAGACTATGGAGCAGAAGGTGGTAGATTTGGTCTCTGTCCGCAGAAAAATGTACTCTGGGATACCCTAACTGTTAAAGAGCATGTCAAGATCTTCAACAGGCTCAAGGCCACTGAAAAGGTTGATACTGAGCACCAACTCTTAGAGCTTTTACATGATTGTGACCTTGATAAGAAAGTCCAGTCATATACGAGAACCCTTTCCGGTGGACAAAAGCGAAAGGTTCAGTTAGCAATGATGTTCACTGGTGCTTCCTCCGTTTGCTGTGTAGACGAGGTTTCATCTGGTCTTGACCCAATCTCGCGAAGGAAAATATGGGATATTCTTTTAGCTGAGAGAGGCTCCCGCACTATATTGCTGACCACTCACTTCTTGGATGAGGCGGACCTTCTTGCCGATCACATTGCCATTCTGTCCAAGGGCGTGCTCAAGGCGCAGGGATCGAGCGTGGAATTGAAGCATCGGCTTGGCTCCGGATATCGTATCCATGTTTTGAACATGCCGGGGGCAGCATTGAGCCATGTGTTCAATGATATCCCCCAAGAAACCCACTTTGAAGAAACTGTGTATACCGTTCCGACTTCTGCAGAAGCAGCCTCTTTGATTTCTAGGCTTGAACAAGAGGGTGTCACGGAATACCGCGTAAGCGGTCCTACAATTGAAGACGTTTTTCTGAAGGTGGCTGGAGAGCTGGACTCCCAGAAGTCTCAGGACACTGTCGTGGAAAATGCCCAGGCTGAAACGCAGCCTCCTGAAAAGCAAGGCAAGGAAGACGTACATCAAGAATTGCAACTCCTTACGGGCCAACGCATCAGTATGGCCCTCCAGGCGTGGTATCTCTTCCGTAAAAGAGCTACCATCCTACGCCGGAATCCTCTTCCGTACGTCGCAGCCTTGCTTATCCCTGTCATTGCAGCTGGTCTGGTTACGCTCTTCTTAAAAGATGTTACATTAGCCGGCTGTAGTGCGGGAAGCACAATAAGGATGCCAAAGCCTCAATCCCTACAATCCCTAGATGATTTTCAGATCGTACTCGGCCCCTCTAGCAGGGTCTCAAACGCCGCTTTGGAGAGCTTTGCTAGCTCATTATCTGGCTCTGGAGAAGTGATAACAGGGACCCCTGAAACTTATTTCCATGTGGTGGACAGCCTTTCTGAATTCGAAGACTATATCAAACACAACTTTCACAATGTTACCCCGGGTGGATTTTACCTCGGAGATGCATCATCCAGTCCTACCCTTGCCTGGAAAGGCGACAACGGTGATTTCCCTCTAGCAGCCGTCATACAAAATATCTTCCACCGTCTACTTACCGATATGCCTATCAATCTCCAATTTCAGTACTTTGGCATCCCGTTGCAGCCCAACGCCGGTAAAATTCTCCAGCTTATTATCTACTTTGGTCTAGCTATGTCGGTCTACCCAGCTCTGTTCGCCCTGTATCCGACTGTAGAGCGACTGAGGAATGTCAGAGCGCTTCACTTCAGTAACGGAGTCAGAGGCGCATCCCTTTGGCTCGCATACGTCGGCTTCGACTTCAGCATTGTCGTTATCACCAGTGTTCTTGCCATCATTATCTTTAGAGCCGTATCTGATGTCTGGTATAATCCAGGATACCTTTTTGTGGTCTTCTTCTTATATGGACTTTGCTCCACTTTGCTATCGTACTTCGTCTCCCTGTTCTCAAGATCCCAACTTGCAGCCTTTGCAGTTGCGGCCGGCAGTCAGTGCGTCCTATTCCTCATATATCTCATCGCCTACATGTGCATTCAGACCTACTCGCCCACGGACAAAACGAAGTCTTATATCGACATCGCTCATTTCACGATTGGTCTAATCTCGCCTTCCGGAAACCTCCTTCGTGCTCTCTTCGTGGCCCTGAATGTATTCTCCATACTATGCCGGGGAAGGGAAGTTGCCTCCTACCCAGGAGAAATCACTCTCTACGGCGGACCCATTCTCTACCTTATTGTCCAGTCTTTCATTCTCTTCGGTTTACTCCTATGGCTCGATGGGGGCTCCATCCTTTCACTATTACGTTCCAAATCCAAACCCAACGACGAAGAAGAAGAGAAATACACATTAGACAAAGACACCAACCCCGAGAAGTCACAATCCACAAACCCAACTCCAGACAACGGGCTCCGCGTCCGCCATCTCACGAAAACCTTCCACAAATTCACCGCAGTAGAAGACATCACCTTCAGCGTCAGCAAAGGCGAAGTATTCGCCCTTCTGGGCCCCAACGGCGCCGGCAAAACAACAACCATCTCTCTCATACGAGGTGACACCCCACCCTCCCGAAATGGAGGCGACATATTCGTCGACAACATCTCCGTCCTGCGACACCGTGCTTCCGCCCGATCTCACCTCGGCGTCTGTCCCCAGTTCGACGCAATGGATCAAATGACCGTTCTAGAACACCTCACCTTCTATGCCCGCATCCGCGGCGTCCCCGATGTGCCCCACAACGTGAACGAGGTCATCCGAGCCGTCGGCCTCACACCCTTCAAACACCGCATGGCGCTTACTCTATCCGGCGGAAACAAACGCAAGCTGTCCCTCGGCATTGCCTTGATGGGTAACCCTACTGTTTTACTACTCGATGAGCCGTCGTCTGGTATGGACGCCGCGTCGAAAAGAGTCATGTGGAAGACCCTCGCTGCTGTTGCTTCTGGACGCTCGATTGTCCTCACCACTCATTCTATGGAGGAGGCCGATGCCCTCGCTCATCGGGCGGGTATCATGGCGAAGCGCATGTTGGCTCTCGGTACCACGGATTCCCTGCGCTCAAATTACGGGAATAGATACCATGTTCATTTGGTACATCGCCTGGCTCCACATACGAGTGAAGAGGATATGCAGCGGATCCGCACGTGGGTTGGTCAGAACCTCCTAGGAGCTGTTATTGAGGAGAAGACGTATCATGGTCAGCTACGTTTTACGGTGCCTGCTGCTGGGTCGGAGTCGACGAAGTCCGATGATTATGACGGTGATACCATGTCGCCATCCGAAGTCGATATGGACACCATCAAGGGAGGAAGGGACACCGGCAATAATAGCATCGTCAAGCTCTTTTCGCATCTTGAGGAGAGTAAGGAGGAGCTTGGGGTACAGTTCTATTCTGTTAGTCAGACGACGCTGGATCAGGTGTTTTTGACTATTGTTGGGCAGCATAATATTGCGGAGGAGGGTTCTGGTCAAATATCCTCGGCGAAGGAATAGGTTTCTCTCGTTTCTTTTTCTTTCCTTGTATTTCTTTCTGCTCTTCTTTTTTATTCGGTTGGTTTATCTTCCCTGTGCATATTATTGGTGTATATATTCCCTTTTTGTGGGATTATAAGGCATTGTTTGATCTCAAAATGGGTGGATGTATGTCCGTTACTTATTTCATTGGACTGGCTAACACAATAACTGCTTACTCCTTTATACTCGTTGCCATATCATTGATATCATGGCGCATTATTTATAGAATATAACCATGCTAATAAATGTACCGGAAACTGTAAAGTAGACACGTTAGCATAAACACCGCACACAATCAACACGATAAAACGAGAAAAAAACATACTTCAAGTTCTCCCTATCCGTCAGATCCAAGAAAGCAGTCGCATCCAGATCTCTACCTTCCAGCCCGCCTTCCATCTGAGACTGTATCTTATCCCTCTTTCTATTCTCCCAGCGAAGCAGAAGACCCAAGATACTGATGAGGACAGCTTCAATAAGATGCGAAACGATCATGGACCAGATGCCAAGCTCGTAGGTTGGTCTGGTTGAATGACCGGGTTAGCATCGGATGTAGAGACTCCACGATTGGGCTCACTCACTTCTGGCTCTCCTTGTAGAAGAATGGACCGGCGATGTTTCCGGTGCAGTACCCCAGGAAGAGGACTGCGTTTGTGACTACTTTCTTTGTGTGGCCTGGAATGATTGTAGTTAGTTGGGTGAATCGGGTGGAATTCCTAGGATGCCGTACCAGCTGTGTTTGCGACTTGCATACTCAGGACCAGAACGAAGGCTGCGTTGTAAGGGCCTGTTAAGTAATAGCAGATTAGTCGGCCGACTTGTTGATCTGTCGGGACGAAGCGTAGGCCGAATGCCCCTGCTATATTTGGTAAGAGGAAGATTAGGATGAAGACGCAGCGTCTGTTCTCGAAGCGGTCGTTGAGATATACGCAGGCTAGAATGGAGAGTGCGATCAGGGCTCCGTAGGGTATCTGGATGATGAAGTTGAGCTTTTGCTATAGTTTGGCGTCGTCAGTGTGGCTACTTACCTGCATCAAGGTAGTTACTAGGGTAGAAAACCCGAAACCTTTAATGATTATGGTTCCAAAATTAGATATGCCGCCGTTCGGAATATTGCCTGGATAAGCGGCCGTATAAGCTATGATAATCAGACATTCAAGGGAGAGGGTTTTGTACAAACTAGACCGAGGGCGAAGAAGAAATATATCTTGTAGTCTAGGAACGCTTCGAGAATCTGGTAAGGCTTGAGATGCTTGTTTTCGACACCGGTCTGATTATCTCGTATTCTCGCCACTGCGATTCGACGCTCCCTTTGGGTGAGGCCTGGTGCCGAGACCGGTGAATCAGGGAGGAAGATGAACATGACGATTCCCCAGGCTGAGCAAAGTGCGCCACTAAACGGCATCTTCGTCTTAGAGAGTATTTCAATTGTAATCAAGCGGAAGGGTTGCTTACATCACAATAAATTCGTACTTCCACGATGGAAGTGCACCTCTGATATGACCGATTCCATAGCCTAATAGACCGCCGAGAGCAATTCCAAGCCCGTTGGCCGTATACCATAAACCAATACGGACAGGTTGTTCGCGTCGTGTATACCACATACTAGTGATGAGCATAAACGCAGGATCTGCACAAGCTTCTGCGGCTCCTCCCAGCGCTCGAAGCACAGCAAGAGTAGCGAAATTGTGACACGCGGCTTGGATCATCAGGAAAACACCCCTATGGGCTGTTAGATGGTCGTCCGGCTATATTATGGCAAAGAGTAAGAAACGTACCACATGAAGATATTCGCTCCAAGGTATTTTCCTAAGACAGGTCAGTTAGATCATGTTCTATACGCCATTGCAGTTAAGAAATTACCTATAGGCAATCTTTGCATGAGAAAGTTTGTCGGGAACGCCCAGGCGAGGAATCCAAAGTAGAAAATACTACTGAGCCAACTATACTGTGTCCCGTGAAGGTTAAGGTCTTCATTGATCCCAAAGATTGCCGCATAGCTCAATGTGGTCTGCAAATGCATACAGTTATGTGTTAGCCGGTCCAATGAAATAAGTACTAGTACGCACGTTGAAGACGATCCTTAATTACCTTATCAATATAAAAGAAGGCGTAGCAAACTGCTAGATACGGTAATATCATAAAGTCAATTTTCCAGAGCAGTTTGCGTGCCTCAACTGGATCCACGGGTTCCTGAAGTTCTTCATCGTTAAACAGGGCCATGGCCGTGTCGCCATCTTTCGGTTCCGGTGCTTTCAAGCTTGCCACGATATGTGTGTTCTCATTGTGAATAAATGTAGGTGCTTCTGCCGAGTCAATCATGGAGCCCTTTCCAGGCTCCAGCTCAGGGTTGCCGGCCATCTTGGTGACAGCTTCTTTCTTCTTCGCGTGCAAGCCAGCAAAGCTGTCAGTTTCTATTTCGACGCAAATACAGACCTCAGGGAAACGCTGCGTCAGGATGGGGAGGGGTCATCGTTGTTTTTATGGAGACCCAAGCCTGATGTCAGGTCATCAAGCATGGTCACCGACGACGAAGCTTAATCTACCCTCAAATCCAGTTGTATCCGCAACGAAACGAACAACTCCAGTTTCGTCGTTATGGACTGGCTGGGGTAGGTTCTCTATCCCCACGCAGACCCACCACGGCTGATGGGAGCTCCATCTGGGGCTTAACAATATGCGGGGAACTGACCCGTTGATCCATCGAGTCTCGAAGTAAGCCCGAGGTCGCACTATAAACGTGGGGGTTTGCACACCTTCTAAGACCGCTCGGAGTAAGGCCGTGCGATCGTATACTAGGCGAAGCTGTTCTGTTACGACACGATTGGGTAATGCAAAAAGAGTTCGGACAAAAGACCGAAAAAAAGAGACAAAAAGCTCGTGAGGAACAATAGGTGGAAAATCCACGACCGCGTGCCGATCCTGCCGGATAAAGAAGTTGGGGAAGAATTGGAAAGGTTGGGGTATAAAGTATTGACTCCAAGATTTCTGGATAGCGATGGTTGATGCACCACATTCTCTTGAGAAGGAATTGATGAAGAGTGTTCATGTGGCTAACTACCGGCCCAATACGAGCCTGATTAGATCCTGCAGGAAACTCTTGCAAATCGATGGGCTCTGTGCAAATCGGAGAATTTATGGGATATGGCCTCTAGCATAAGGAGAATAACCTCGGTTCACGCATCCATGTCAGTTTGCTAAATCCCATCTTGTCGGATTCTTTTTAGATCAATGTAGTAGTCCTGCGCTTCTAAAGGTGTGTCTTGCGGTATATAAGCGCGAGAATGCCCAGGCATTTCATCTGCAAAGCTTCTTGCATTGTTGCACAGTACACTTATCCATGTTCATCTAATAGATTGCGGAGTGGCCCTAATGCTTCGTAATGGCATTGCTGACACATTATCACTCTCTTTGCTTGGTCCGATTCGGTTTTCAGAGTCCCTGGTATCAAGCCATTTACCATGGTGCTGTTGTAACTGCATCATGCTGGTTTGGATGGTCTGAGGGTCGGCCCCAGTTCCAGATGAGCAAAAGCCCCTGGAGACAGTCGTATTTTGATTCCCGTCCCAAGTCGTCAAGGGGGTCTGGATGCTCTGACGGTAAAGAATCTTCTCGAAAGGTTTCACCATTTTCGACATATAGAGGAGTTACTCCTATTATGATGATATTAAAATAGTCTTTGAATGGCCTGACAATGCTCGGCTTGGATGCCCCTTGTATGAAACAGACAATATCCCCAGGCTTGACGGCCTGTGCTGAGACCCGCACGGTCCATTTAACTGTGCCTCGTTTGACGTAATGACTACAGTGACTTCTCGAATCCTTGATGCGCTGAAGCGATTGCATCGAGTTGATCAAGTCAATGTGCACATGCTGTCTGTCAAATCGAGATCTGTCTCCGTACGCTGCAGATACCCTCCCTAAGCTATAACCCATACCCTTGATCAACGCTAACTCTTTATCGGGCCAAGTTTCGATCGATACCCTTTGAGACAGAACATGCCTAATGATTCGCTGGAAGAGGAGTTCCCAAGGGACCTCATAGTGAGGCAACAAGCCCGCTGCCTCTAGGTTTTCGCAGCACATACCAAGAAGGGCAAACACTTTATCATGGCGTATGGTGGCCTTGTGGGAATGGTACATATCAAGTAACTCGCCCAGAGGGCGTCTCCTCTCGTGCAGTACACTTTGACCTGGACGGAATATTGCTCTTCCTAAGAGATAAGTGACTGGGCGTACGGAATTGATCAAACTCTGCAGCCTCGGACATCTGTTGTTAAAGTCCTCTATACCGCGCAAACCCGAGGAAAATGCATAGCCATTCATCTCCATAGGGCCACATTTGACCAGGACCGACCGAGCAACTCCAACCTCTTGAAGAACCTGTAATGTTGTTAATAAAGCTCCTCCATATATATACCTCACTCAGTGCTTTCCCTTACCCAGACCCGCCGGAACCAAGGGCGTTCCAAGAGTGCTATAAGTGCCGTATCATTGATTTCTTCCAACAGACGCTCGCCTTCCGCAGCGACTTGTAATCTCGCTAGCGTCGAAGTGCTATCATTCTCTTCTTCTCCAAGCCAAACGATAACATTTTTAGCTTGCCCATAAATTCTGGCCATCAATTGAATCTGCCGTTCTTTCTCTGTATTGCTTTTCTGGTCGATACATATAGCATCGACCCACAGCAGCCTCGGGAACCGTTCATATCGAAGGCGCGACAGCGCTGCATGTAAGTTTGCCGTGACTTCCAGGGCGTAGCTGTTAACGCATATCGAAGAGGGGTTTTCTGTGGAGCCCCAAACATATGACAGGGCTTCGTAGGCTTGCTCCTCTTGTTCTTTGAGGGGGTGCTCAATGAGCTCACATTCAATTAGAGCAGCCCGGTTTTTATTCGGTAAGAGGCGAAGCATGCGAATGGTATTATGTCCAGGTGGAAGTAGTGTATAATTATAGGCAGACATTTTGTCAAACATTTTTCCCTAGAGAATATCAGGTATACTCCAAACGGACTCTCGTGGAGTAGCAGAATTCGTTGTGCATCCCAAGGCTGATGTTAACGAGAGAGGAACCAACCCCGCCAAAAATCATAAATATAAATCCCGCGCATCAGCACAATATCGAGCAGTGCCGGTGGTTCTTTTATGAATTCTAGTTTCTTCCAAGAACATACCCTATATTGATCTCTATCCAAGGTTACAAGAAATGATAAATCAGTAAACGTCAATGGCCATATACAAGTAATAATACAGTCGCCAAATGCAAAACCCCAAATGAGCAGCGGCCCTTTAACGGCGCCGTTTCTGTCCACGGCCGCGTCCTCCCTGTCCTCTCTGGCCGGAAAGGGCAGACTTCTGTCGGAGGTAGTTCGAAACGATATTCTCAACGCTGCGCATATCGTGTCTGGGTTGTCTGTGGGGTGAAACAAGACATGTTAGCCAAATCAAGCACGGAGAGAACACACAAAACCACCAATAATAAGCCATATACGCACCTCATGTAGTACAACCTGGCTCTTCTCTTCCTCTTCTCTGTCCTCTGTACAATTTCCACGCTCTCAACGTTGGGGCTGAAAACCTTCACCCACATCTCAACACCGACCCTGGTAAGTTCATTACGAAGCAAGAACGTAGTGTCAATGCCGCGAAGACGAATGCTAAGACAGACTCCGGAGAATGGGTCCCCGTTCTTGAAGGTCACGCGCAGAATGTCGCCGACCTTCACACTGCGTGGGTTTCTTCTGTAGTCGAAAAGTGCTTTGCGTTCACCGGTTGGATCAAGAGCTGCAAATTGAGATTCGGTCACTGCTGCCACGGGGTCTTTGCAAACCGAGCGGCTTGAAGGCGGAGCAGGGTAGACTTTGAGCTTCTTGCGGCCTGTTCAGGGGTACATTAGCTATCTGACAGCACCCTCGGGGGTAGATTAAAAGGCGCAAGGAATACCATTGGTGGGCTGATGGCGAGGAGGTATTTGAGAAAGGAACGACTTGGGCAATTTGTTCGGAAGAGGCACGGGCTCTTGTTTCGGAGTGTACGCAGTTGTGATGGATCGGCGTGCGATTTGGGGCGACACCAATGACTGGGGCTTCGCGATAGACCTTAAGCAGCCCAGCTGCCGCAGGATTGGTGAAAAGGTCGCCATGGCTGCGAGGATTGTGGTGCGCTGAGCAGCTGGCAAAGAGAAAGATGCGAGAAACAGATGGACCTCCGAGCGTGAAGTTTGCGGACCGGCAGAATTTCCGCCAAGCCTCAAATTGCCTGTTTGGGTCAGCGTCCAGAACTCGACTCCGGGAACTTTTCTGCCATCGCGGACCAGCTTGCGCTTCACATTGTGTTGATCTAATCTTCAATTTTGTACAGGCGGGGTTTGCTCTTGTCTAGCGGGTCATTAAGGAAAGTCTATCACGTTCAAATACGCCTGAACCCCCTATTATTTCAGTAAAATGGCGCAAAACGCCATTGGAAGGCTCTTGCGCGGCCAAAGTTCCAGCACCCTCCGTCAATCCATTGGCACACTCACACAGAAACGTTGCTATTCCTCGAAAAATGGTGCGATTTCTCGCTGGCCTTCCTTTGTTGCTGTCAAATTAACATCTATAATGCAGCCATCCCGACCTTTTCCCCGACTTCCTCCGCCGAGCTGGACCAGGCCCTCAATCGTTTCCGCGAAGAACTCTTCATACCGTTCGGACTAGGAACGCAGCAAAGGAGGTTAATGTTTCGTCAGAAGTATGCCGATCGTCTAGAGGAAGAACCCGTCAGCGTATCCGTCGGCGAAGATGAAGAGCCGTTCCTGCTCCGCCCCATGGACCCGCAATCAAGGCCAACAAAGAAGGAGATCGTGGACGTTATCACACTCATGCAGACGACAAAGGATTGGCAGAACCTAATCCCTTTCTTGTCCGGATTACGGATGTCACATCGTGTCATTAAGTCCGACCGTTGGGAGTGGTTGGTGCGCCGGGCTGGCCAGGCTGATGCTCTTGGTATTATTCTTGAAGCCGCGAAGCAGAGCGAGAAGACTGGTCTCCGTCTCAGCAATGTGGATATTGTACAGCGTATCTTCTTCGAACTTCACCGCAAGGCCCAAAGAGGGGAGTTCAAGGATCCAGAGGTGTCGAAGGCTCTCACATTGGCGAAGCAGTTTGTCTCCCTGATGGAAGCCCCCGAACACATCGAACATAACCTGGAGCTCGATCCTAAGAGGAAGCCATTTGTCATCGGTACCCTGCTTGAGCTCAGCGCTGCTCGTGCTGTTAACGAGCTTGGCGGCAATGATGAAGGTGGCCTGGTCCGTTCTTATGCTCAACGTCTCCTGGGCAGCTGGTCGCTTGGTAACTTCGGTCGTGACGCTAAGAATTGGCACGATGTTGACCACGTGTTGCAAGAGATCGTGCCCATTTACAATGGTATGAAGCTGGCCCTCAAGGTCAACGGCATTTCAAATGATAAGTCTGTCGCCCCGGGCCTGAAGACACGCGTGAATGAGCTAGGGACTTTGATTGCGAACCAGAAGAAGGCTGCACCGGAGAAAGCTGTACAACGGCCAACGTTGGGTCTTCAGCAGAGTCAACTTCTGCATCAGGGCTAAGCCCATGTTTCTTTCTACACATTGTCTATGAACTGTATATTACCACTTAGAATCATTTGGAGCTGTATGTTATCTCAATCTGAAAATGGGCTATTTTCTCCTTGGATAAAATATACCGCTGCGCCTGACATGTTTGGGGTACTTTAGCATCAACATGGATAGAGGCAATTTAATGTTCCATTCAAAAGCCGCAAAATAAACGAGCCGGTAACATGAGTCATGTAGCCGCGAGGTCAACGCTAAAAAACGAGCAAATGTTGTTGCGCACATACGTGATTTAGCACAACTCTAATGTGTTGTCGTCACGGATGCGGCCTTGCGCCGACAGCTTGGTTTTCCCAGAGACAACGGCAGGGCCAGAAACAGTAATCTGTTGGGCAAACGTTAGCTAAGCAAGAAAAGACGTAGCGCAAGTCCATTATAACAGAATCACGTACCTGTCCCTCATTTTCCTTGTCTTCAGAAACACCAGTGAGAACAATTTCAACGCTACTTAAAGGAGCTCCGAAGTGACTCTGGCCCTGATAGCGCCTATAGTCGAACACATTCGTCTGAGTGACAGCACCCGCCACGCCAGGACCAGTCAAGGCGTAGACCACACGGGCCCCAGTAAAGATCTTCAAGTCCGTTAACTGTCCGGAGGTAAGGCGAACTTTGGGATCAGCGTCCGCACGGTGCGAGATACATAAGAGGCGAAGATTGTCGAGTGAGAGTTCCGCCATCGGTCCAATATTGGCAACCTGGCTGAACATGCCATGAGAAGGCATGACTCCAGCATCTAGTTTCCTCACATCGAACCAACGAGCCAGGGAAGAGACGATACCAGAATGTGGCTCCATGAACCTGTTATGGTAGTCGGACATTGTGCGAGACGAGGTAATAATCACAGTTGGAGATACTCCAACAGTTGCTAAAGCGAAGTCGACACCTTCCCCAGCGACAGAGTTCACTGCAACGGAGGCATTTGAGTACAGAGCGGCCATTACCTGGCACAACGGATAGGAGCGAGAAAGGGAATCAGTCGAAAGCACCAGATCACTCGGGCTCAACCGCTCATTACGGGGCAATGAATAAGTCAATCCAGCGATGGCAGAGATCAAATTCTGTCACACCGTCAGCCTTGAACCAGTACAATAAGGGAAATCCTACCTCTGGTTGATACTCGATGAACTCGCCTGCTCCTGAGGCGCATGGCCAAACCGTACTAAGGGATGGTGAGGGGCTGTTCGGCTCCCAGCTGGGAACATCAAGCCCAGCCAAGTCCTTCTTCTCTTCTACTATCTCATGCCAGACAGCAACATCCAGAGTACCTTTGACATCACCAGGCACATCATTCCAGTCCATATGCCTACTACCAAGCTTCGCAACCCAGATGACCTGAGAAAGTTGCTCGTTACTCTTCGCCACAAGAGACAAATCAAGCGCGCCCGCCTCCGCAATCAATACATCTGCCTGAGATTTCTGCAGGAGGGTAGATAGGTCATTAGGGTCAAGGTTGTGAGGAATAAGGATGATCTTAAACCCATAGAAAGCACCGGCTGTGTATCCAAGCTTCTGTCAGTAAGCTGTCATAGGGCACAAGCAGGTCGAGGAGCTCTAACCGAATATTGAGGCCAAAAGCTCAACCGAGTCTGTAAGACAGACAGCAACTGTTTTAGCCTTGGAGTACTGCAGGCGAGACCCGATGACATTGATCTCTTGCGTTACTTGTTCCAACGAGTGCTCTATCGCCCTTCTTCCGAGCACAGTATAGATCTTTCCCTGTTTGCCAGATAACTTGCCGTCCTCTGCAGCTCCGCGAACGGCAGTTTTCCAGACATCGCGCAAGTCACCTTTCCGTCCAGCGGTCCATTTCGGTGCTCCGGGGTCTTTGACGTTCAGCCCGGACCGAAGGGGGAAGCCGTGTGGGGTCTCAAGACTGCGGTAAGCGGCAGATTCGCCAGGCTGGCGGACAGGAAAGGCTGTTGACTGGCGAGCGAGCAAGAATGGGTGAATGTCTGGCTCCTTGGACGTAGCGAAGGAATAAATAAGAAAGGTGACAATAGTCCCTGCGATGAGAGTCGTGTATATGTTCCAGTCAGCCAGGACGTCAGCGACCAATGTATCTAGCTTGGCCACTAGCGACGTTTCCGAAGCCATTTTGGGTTTACTTATGCCCGACAATGCGTCGTCATGTAGGATGCGTGATGTACAAGAGGGTGAAGGTCCGATTGTTTCTTTATTTCCGTAGTAAGGGTTCCAGGCTGCAGCGAGATGGTGACGTGACCTCAGCTGAGGGTAGATGTGGAGACAACTCGCGGGTCCGGCGTTTAACAATTCAAGGTTACCGAGCTACCTGAAAAACTCCGCGTCAAAGGCGCTTGTGACAGTGGTTGCCAGTGAGCAGGACGCACCGATCATCAAAACAAGCACTGTCCCACCACAGCATTTGAAGACCTAGTCGCGCTGCCCACCACAATATGGTTGTGACTCTTTTTGAAGTCGTATAATTACTTGAGGCCGAAAATTCATACACAAATGCTCAGGTGACTTTTTTCTAGGACAGCGTCACACAGGTAAGTTAAGTAAGTTTCAACACCCCCAATTCAAGGTAAGTTCTCTGGACCTCTTTGCGCCATACTGAGAAAGTCGTACTCACACCTGTGCAGGCTATCTCTTTTCCCCTTTGTTTGTACTTTTACGTTTTCGTACACATCAATGGCTTCCTTATCCGCCCCATCTACCCCTAGGGCAGCACCTTCACCTGCACCTACTTCAGACGAGTCCCGGACACCAGGAAAATGGCGCCATCCGCAGTTGAATGAAATAGTCCGGCGACAGAATGCTGGAACATTTGGGGATAGTAATATCAAAAGAGTTCTGTGGAATGGTGCTGCTTTACTAGCAACCTGGATCTTTGGCAACACCTTCAAATCCTAGTGAGTAGCGACAGTGAGGTCGATTGTGACGCACAGACTAATAATCCCACTACAGCTCTCTGCGACTCGAAAAGTCCAGCCAGTATTCTACATATCCTGATCTCTCCCTGCATGTGTTACAACTTATCTTCGCACTCAATATCCTTGTGGCACTATACCCTCTCATTCGCCCAAAGGACAACCTCTCCGATATCCCACTCACCCCTACACAACGCGCCCTCTTAGGGCTCGATCCATCTGCTACAGCACCGCCGACGCCGGGATCCACATACATCACTCCACCCAAATATCGCCTTTCTGGGTCGCGGACAGCAAGCCCGGCCAGCAGAAGTGCATCGCCTTTGTCGACCAGCGCCAGTGCTTCTGGGCGTAAGGTATCGTCGGGCGCCTTGTTCTCGCCGTCTACTAGTCCATTGCTCCACAAGGCTGTTTCAAATGGAGGAAGAGAAAATGGACGGAGACCCAGTTTCGGCTCTCCATCACCTCTGGGAAGAAGCTCACCTTTTCGTGAGTCAACCTTCCGCGAATCAAGCTTCGGATCGAGTACGGGTCCTGCGACTCCGTCGCCAGTAGGGGGGAAACGCGTGAATCTTGGTCTGAGCAACAAGTGGCTGTATGAGCGGAGCAGGCGGCTGTCAGCGAGCAATGGTAGTCTTTGAATTACTTTTGTTGGTGTTCGGTGCATTAGGGTGGAGACAATGATATATTCATATGTTCTGAAGGGCGTTCAGCAAGCGCTATGTCCTTTTATGAAAAGATCGACTTTTCAATGTGCATTTTAGG